TCACAATACATAGATCAATTGTGTAAAGCACATCTATACATTTGTTGCCCTCATCATTCCCAAAATTTTCTTGCCTCTTGGGTTCCCGGAATGCGCTCATTTTCCTTTTTTTTTTTAATTTTCCCCCCCTCCCCAAGGCGGTCAATCTTTACAGAAGCAGACGGCCACGTCCGTCTCCTGATAGCGGCTGGGGTTCAAACTCTGACCTGTAGGTTAGCAGCTGGGCACTAAACTATTGTGCCAGCAGGGTTCCTAAGAGTTGTTGTAGGCAAGGGAGAAGAAAAATACATGAAAGATGGGGCTGAGGGAGGTGGGGACATTCAATATTAATGGGAATACTTTGAAGAGAAATACAGTAGTCTGTAATATCAATCTTTATAGTTCTAGAGTCTGGTAGAAAATAAGTTTGTGTAACAAGAACATCAAACTGTTCACAATCCAAGAGTAGCTGCACAGAATGAGTCGAATGCAATATTAAGTACTTGATCTGTGGTGGCAATCAGTGAGTTATCAGGAATTATTCCATAACTATTTAGAACAAAGTGAGAATTATCAGTATACTTTTAATGATTCTAAATCTCTCCAGAAAAACCTCAATCACTGCCATCAAGTTGATCCCAACTCCTAGTGATCCTACAGGCCAGAGTAGATCCTGCAGGCCAGAAAATGGCCCGTGGTTTTCAAGACCGCAACTCTCTAAGGGCGCAGAAGGCCTCCTCTTTCTCCCAAACAGCAGCTGGTGGTTTAGAGATGCTGACCTTGTGGTTAGCAGCCCAAAACATAACCCACTATGTTACCAGGGTTCCTTTCTAAATGTCAAAACGCCATTAAAACTTTCCAAAACCTCATCAAAATTTAAAATTTCCATGTGGACTTGGAAGAAGCACACCAGCCTGTGTGACCATGAGGTACAAGGGACCAGGTTTCAGGCATCAAAGAACAAAAAATCTTATCAAAGAACAAAAAATCTTATCAGTGGGTATCTACCTTCCTGATATGATCACTGAAGACAAAGCGGGTGCATAAGCGAATGTGGTGAAGAAAGCTGATGGTGCCCGGCTGTCAAAAGATATAGCGTCTGGGGTCTTTTAAAGGCTTGAAGATAAACAAGTGGCCATCTAGCTCAGAAGCAACAAAGGGCATATGAAAGAAGCACACCAGCCTATGTGATCCGAGGTGTCGAAGGGATCACGTATCAGTCTTCAAAGAACAAAAAATCATATCATTGTAAATGAGGGTGAGTGGAGAGTGGAGACTCAAAGTTCATCTGTAGGCAATTGGACACCCCCTTACAGAAGGGTCGCGGTGAGGAGACTAGCCAGTCAGGGTGCAGAGTAGCAATGATGAAACATACAACTTTCCTCTAGTTCCTAAATGCTCCCCCCCCCCTACTATAATGATCCCAATCCTATCTTACAAATCTGGCTAGACCAGAGGATGTACACTGGTACAGATAGGAACTGGAGACACAGGGAATCCAGGACAGATGATCCCTTCAGGACCAGTGGTGAGAGTGGCGATACCAGGAGGGTGGTGGGAATGTGGGGTAGAAAGGGGGAACCGATTACAAGAATCTAATATAACCTCCTCCGTGGGGGGTGGACAACAGAAAAGTGAGTTAAGGTAGACATCAGAGTTTAAGATATGACAAAACAATAATAATTTTATAAATTATCAAGGGTTCATGAGGAAGGGAGAACGGGAAGGGTAGGGGAAAAATGAGCTGATATCAAGGGTTCAAGTAAAAAGCAAATATTTTGAGAATGATGATGGCAACAAATGTACAAATGTGTTTGACACAATGGATGCATGTATGGATTGTGATGAGTTGTATGAGCCCCCCAATAAAATGATCAAATAAATAAATAAATAAATCCCACCCCCCATGCAGACATATCCCTAACTTATATCAAGATTTATTGAGTTGACTATGACCTTGCTCTTTGCTAATATGTCTTTGATGAAATAAAACGTTAGTAATGTGGTAAGAAATTTTTTTTAAATTTCATTTCTTCAAAAGATACTCTAAAGAAAACAAAAAGGCAAGCCACAGTACACTGTAAAACAGCCTGGCAATTTCTTAAAAATCTTACTTACCCAAGAGGAATGAAAGTACATATCCATATGAACATAAACCTACATGGATGCTTTTTTATAAGTGCCAAATTGTGGGGACAAACCCAACTGCTATCACCAGCTAATGGTATAGTACTCAGCAATACAAAGTAGCAACCAAAAATCCAAAAGTCAGTATGCGTTAAGTGCTAGATGGAATAGAGAACCTATGCGTAATTTCAGTCTTCTGACTATACAGTGACTGAAAGAAAGCCAGTGATTGTAAAGGGGTGGATGTGGAAAGGGTCCTGCAGGGAAAGACAGCAAAGAGGCCCTAGAAACGATCTTCATTCCATGGTGGTGCTTTCATAGGGTGTGCTTATCAGTCATCAAATACATACAGTTATGTCAATTATACTTCCATATACAAAATATTAGGCTGGAAAGGAATTTTATTTAAAAGCAAGTATTTATATTCTATATTAAACTCTTTATGAAGTGTGTGTTTGTGTGTGTACTAGGAGTGAGGAAAAGGGGATAGTACTTGTAACTGATCAGTAATTACCCCCAAATGTAACTCCAGTGGATTTTTTTAATTGATGAAGAAATCCAACAAAAATAACATATGACTACATGGGTATTAAAATGCATACGATCAATGATCCCACAACCTACTAATTCTACTTCAAGGTACATAACATAAAACAGAGAAATTCTTGCATGTTCAAAACAACATTAATAAAAACACTACAAAGTGAAAAATCTTAGAGTAGACAGAATAAATAAATTGTGGTCCAGAAGGAATTTTCTCAGATCAGTGTCATCATCATCATCGTAAAAAAGATGTAAATATATTTTAACACATCCTGCATTACCACTGTACAGAATGTAACTCATTCATTCTCTCAGCAAGCCTTTAGAGAAAAGTTAGCTAAAGAGCTGATGAGGCCAAGTAATCTGTCTACACAGTAAAAAGATATAATTACAAATATACATCCACGACTAGTTAGCAATGAATACAAATCAACAAGAGCATTAAATACCTGATAGATAAATCTCATACACAATGGGCTGAGTTTTCACTCAACAATGCATACTTATAGTATGACTGCCTTACAGAAAGTTCAAAAACAGCCAGTACTAAAATACATTTTAGTTAATCCGTGTAAAGCTAAAGGAAAAATGCGAATATACAGCACAAAATAAAACAAAAATTGTTTACTATATTTGGGAGAAAGGGTTAACTGGGATGAGGCAAAAAATAGTTCCTTCAACTGTAATTCTAGCCCTGATGGTATAGTGGGTATGTATTGGGCTGCTACCCATGGGTCACCAGTTTGAAAGCACTTGCCACTCCTCAGGAGAAAGATGGGGCTTTCTATTCTCATAAAGAATTGTAGTCTCATGTGATGGAACTAAGGAATGTTATGATACCTGTAAGAATTCCTAATAAAGTGATTTAAAAGAAAAAACAATTACAGTCTCAGAAATCCATAAAGGCAGTTCTAGCCTGTCCTAGAGGGAGAGTTGGCACGGACTCAATGGCAATGAGTTGGGTTTTGGTTAACTCTGTTTCTTAGCCAGTGAGTTACATGGCTATTCGCTTCATCATTGCTTTAAAATGAACGATATACTTTGCATGATGATATATTTCACTATCAACAAAATGCCACTTGAAAATATGCATTCTCAAATTAGAGAGTCCTCCATTTACACAAGACAGGGTCTGAACTTTTGAGAATTGGTAAGAATGCCAAAAAGAAAGAGATTTGTATGACAGCTCTTAATAAATGTATCCTTTACACACTGTGTGGACAGAGAAGACATAGCCTCACCTGTCTAACTTTTCCTTAAGGGCTGTGAGAGAGCACAGACAAGCTACAATCTACACAATGTCAAGACAGGATCTTTGTTGAAGTCTGTGGTAAAATTACTTT